TGAGGATGTGTGGTTTAGCTTATATGATATGCCTCGTAGTCTTTTCCTATGTTTTTGGATCATAATAAACTTGTCTAATTGCAAAATTTTGGAATATTGTTCATGTTGGATTCGAAATGTGAATGAATGTGTATGGAATGTCTATTTCCACTTAAGCCAAGGATGAATACACAGTTCGAGTCTATTGTTGATCAATGTGGACGAGTCTAGGCGAAGGCTAGAAATAGAACACTTTTGTCATGTGAAACTCTATGCCTTTGGGCTGTGGTAAGATGGAGTCGCTTCCCGGTTGTGGATTTGACCCCCTTGATTGGTAGTTGCTTTATTTGTTAGATCCCGTGAGGTTTATTTGTTCTAGCCTTCATCATTCTTGTTGAGTGGCATATTTGGATCCTTGATTACGCATTTTTCGATCTTTGTGTTGACTAGTAGCTCCCGAGACCGACTTGACACTTTTAAGGGAGGAAGAGGGCACCTTTTTCATTTTTCTTATTTTGTTCCTTTTGTTTTGTTACAAATTGATTTTCTTTTTACATCATCTTACTTGCTAACCATGTTGAGCTTTAATTCCATTCTTGGTTAACCGTGTTACAAACCCGATGGCCAATGTTTTACCAACCCTTAGTTGTGAAGCGTTTACCTAGATAGGTTTGTTGAGCTTATTGTTTACTAATCAAGAAATAAAGTTTGATAGTTGGTTTGAGCAGGTGTGAAAGTGAGCCTAATTGTAAATATGTAATGTGAAAGTCATTTTGCCATCAATAAAAAAAAAGAAAAAAAAAGAAGAAGAGAAAAGCCGTCCGAATTGTGAAAAAGGCAAGGACACATAAATAAAGTTTTGAAGTTTGAAAGAGGTCATTTGAGTGTGTATTATATGGATAATTTGGGATGTGTAAGAATGTGAATCAATGAGATTGTGGAAAGTGAATTACATCTATTGAACTATTGTTTTTGAGAATTGTGATTCTTGCGCTTCATTTAGGAATTAACCCCACTTTTTTAAATTGTTTTCACCTACCTTACACATTGCCAATACCTTACAACCCTTTTAAGACCCTTAGACTTTAGAGGTGTTCGGTTCTCAAACGGTGGAGGGAGATACCTTTCAACCCTATGGAAAGATTATGCGTAATCGAGATGTCGGGATACCTTTGTTATTTCCTCAAAACATCACTTCTTCCGGTTCCTTCGAGGAATCACGAGGGGCCAATTAGGGTGGTGATTTGAAGCAAAAGGGGAGGACGTGGCCGGTTTGGTCGGGTTTAGAGGGAAGCATGATTTCTTTGTTCTCTATGCTTGGTTTAGGTCTTGTTCCCATTTGATCAACGATATCTTGGATTGTGTGTCTCGTTGCTTGTTTGAGTGAGTTTTCCTTCCGTGCATGGTTGTTCTAAGTAGGATCCATTGATTTCATTCCGTGCTTAATTTGATTTGTTCGCAATGGCATAGTTTATTTGATCTTGTGTGTGTTTCCCTTGGTTTTTGCTCGAGGACTAGCAAAAGTGTAGCTTGGGGGGTTTTGACAAGCGCACTTTAGGGCGCGCTTTAGAGCATATTTTAGGATGATTTTGGATGTATTTGGGGCCGCTTTGGCCGATTATAACCTTGTTATGCTTACGTTCCCCATATTACGTGCTTCACGGGTTTTCGGTTTGTTTTTGATGTGTTTTCAGGTAATATCAACCGAGTTTAATCGGATCCCGAGCCCTTGATGCGTAACCGAGCTAGCCTTGACCGGAGTCCGAGGAGTTAAGGAAGTTCAAGTGCCGTGCATTGATTACATAGCACAGGCAGCACGACCGTGTTACCATAGGCACACCCGTGCTGGCCTATAAGCAAGCAACCCCAGGCAAGGCAGCACGGCCGTGCAAGCCAATAGCACGGCCGTGTCAGTATCCACGCACCCGCACGGCCGTGCAGGCCATTAGCACGGCCGTGCCAGATGTTGCACGTGCCCGTGTCAGCTTCAGTATGAGCCCCGTGCTAGAGCATATTCAGCACGACCGTGCCATTTTTAGCACGGCCGTGCCATATATAGCACGACCGTGCCAATTTGAAGAAGAAATCCGGTTTACTTACTGACAAGCTAGCACGGCCGTGCCAAATACAGCACGGCTGTGCTGATCTAGGGTTAACTGCGCGCTTGACTTTTCCGCATTAGAAGACGTATATAAGGCCCAACTTTAAGAGGATTCCTCAGACAGTTTTAGAGATAGTTTTGAGAGCCTTTGTAGAGAGTTATTGTAGAACGTTCTTAGTATTAGAGATTCATTAGTTTTCTTAGAGATATTTCTAGAGATTTTAGTTTTCTTGGATTGATTTGAAGCAAGATTTGCGAAGATTCTTTGTATTATTCATTGACGACGGATATCAAAGTTCTGAACTTTTCCATTGATTCGCATCAATACAATTGGTATTATTCATTCTTGTTTATTAATCAAGCTTTATTATTCCTTAATCAGAATTCATGTTTATATCTATTATGCTTTTGGAATTCATTATTGCTTTGATTATGAATATGTGTGAGTAGTCTCGTAGCTAGGGTTTCGGGATGAAACCCGGCCTAGGTAATCTATGTAATTGAGGATTGATTTTGATAAACGGATTGTGATTAAATTGATTATATGCGATTGCATGTTAATTCATTATAATAGGAGTAGCTAACCTAGAATCTTGAATTTGATTGCATGATATTCTTGATTTGAACAAGAGATTGTGAATTGAGTATTTCATTATTGAATGTGGTTTGATTATGTATCGAGTAATGTTAAGTGCATGAGAAATCCAAGCTTATTATTGCCCGTTGTCTTCCTATCACATGATATTGATCAGACTTATAGTCTTTGTAAATCCCGTTTGTCTCTGTGATTCCTTGTTGCTTAGTTACCAATGGTTAGGCGGATTCCCGTTCTCCCTAGTGTCTTAGTTTATTGATTTATTCCATCTTATTAGTATTATTTTAGAACACCATTTTCCATTGATTTCGAACTAGCTTAGGTTTAAGATTGATTTGCAATTACTCTCGTTTCTCGTGGACCGAACCTTTATTTGCCATTGTACTTGGTTATAGGGTGTTCGTATAAGTATTGTTTGATTGAGAGTTAGATTGTAGCGACCGATTTAACCCTTGTCAGGCAACCTCTTCTTCTTTCACCTCAGAATCTTCTGGATCACCAGCTGTGAGAGCCAAGCCTTTTCCTTTGTCTCCTTCACTATTGCTTGTTCCTAAGTGCAACTCATGAGTCATGAGGGAACCAACAAGTTGCTCAATGTTGAACTTCGTGAAGTCCTTAGTTTCTTGTAAGGCAGTCACCTTGGCTCTCCATCTTTCATCTTGAGGGAGGCTTCTTAGAACTTTCCTGACCTGCTCATCAATTGGGATTTGCTTTCCAAGAGAAACAAGCTCATTAATAATGTTAGTAAACCTGGTTAATATTTCCTGGATTGTTTGTTAAGGTTGCATTTCAAAACGTTCATATTTAGACATAAGCAGATCAATTTTAGAGCGTTTCACCTCGTTAGTTCCTTCATGTGTTACATGAAATAAATCCCAAATTTCTTTAGCATTTTTGCAGCCCATAACACAATTGTGTTCATGGGATCCAAGACCACAGTGAAGTAATTTAACAGCAAGTGCAGTAATTTAACAACAAGTGCATTAATTTCCATTTTTTTCAAAATCTTCCTTATAAAATTCAGATATGGGTTTAGGTACTACCTCATTTTCACCAGTAGTTTTGGTGATTTCAAAATAAGCAAATTCAATAACTCTCTAAACTATAGTTGTCAGCTTTAATAAAAATCTCCATCCTGTTCTTCCAATAGGTGTAGAACTTCCCATTGAATATAGGAGGACGCTGCATAGAGTAACCTTCTTCTTGTTTCTCGTGATTGTTCATCTTGCTTCCAGGACCTTAACTCGTTAGGGTTTCCTGATTTCTTCGAGGAACTAGCTCTGATACCAATTGTTGACTCGACTAAACAATACAAGAGGGGGGTGAATTGTAATGTAGAGGAACTAGGGTAATTTTTGCGGAATTAAGAGAGAAACTCAAACAAAAACTAATATTGCAAAGAGAGATTTTATGTGGAAAACTTCTTGGCCCTAATCAAGAAGGAAAACCACGACCACAAGGGATTTTAAACTCAACTCTTAATAATAATAGGCAAAACAACCTATTACAAATTAAGACTCTATACTCAAGTTCCTCAACAAACTTAAGTACCCTTCAACTGATCCCTCAATCAGTTGATCACTCTAACTCTCTCTTTCTCCTTGCTTCACTCAAAGCAATAAACACTCTTAGAGTTTCCCCAAACTCTAACCCAAAACAACTCAAGATTAAACTCGAAATGCTAAGCACTAAGACACTCAAGGACTTAAGTGGATTATGACTCTTTTTGTAAGCTAAAAGATTCTAATGCACAAGTATGTTTTACTCAATAGAAAACCAAGTCTTTTTATAGAGGAAGAAGGAAGTTAAAAACTGCCATTTTGCCTTAATCTCCACTCAGCCACAACTTCCATAAAACTAGGAAGTGTAGATAATGGGAACTTGGGCAGATTGCTAATCGAATTAACAGGAAGTGGTTTTACTGACTTCCTGGTTTTTCTCAACCTCTTTGACAAAGTAAAAACACGTTTAAAAGATATTTTCCCAAAACAGATTTTCCAAAAAGATAGCTTTGAATAAAACTAAAAAACTTGTTTAAAAAGATATTTTAACTAAATGATATTTTTCGAAAATAAACAAGTTAAAATATGAAAAATAAAATCTTTTTCATATAAAATTAAAAACCACTTAAATCCAATCAATTATCATTGTACTTACCATAAATACAAGAAGCCTAAAATTAAAGATAAAATTAAAAAGACTCCTTGACACTTTGAGAAGCTTCGACTCTGGAGCTTCAGTTCCTCACTCAAGGAACTTGTCTTGAAGCTTCGGCTCTAGAGTTTCAGTTCCTCACTCAAGGAACTTGACATCTGATTAACTTCTTTATCCTTCCATAGCAGACTTAGACTTTGAACCATGCTTCATTCTTACTCCAGAATCTCGTAGCATAAACCTGTCAATAATCAAAGCTAAAACAGAAGTTAAACTAGTTATGGTTTACTTAGGTTCCTTGAGTCATCATCAAAACTTAGGGTCAACAATAAGTATAAATTATAAATTATTATAAGTATAAATTACGGAAAAATAATAATGTTGAAGATGTACATTAAAAAGAGTTTGAACTTGTATTTCCTCCTACAATACTAGTGTAATATTTATTTAATATATTAGCAAAATATGGTGGTAAATTTCAAAATGGTATTATGGAACCAAAAGCATACAATGAGAATTATGAGAATATCGTTATGACCCCTTTTCAAGTATTTTGGGTTTCTGGCATTGGGTTAGCCAGGGATGTCGCACATCATAACACAATACCAAAAAAAAGGCACACTATTATTATGTGTGTCAGGCCGTAAGCCATGCATGGACTGCATTTTTTTTTAGAAGTACAATAAGGCATGATATATCATACTAAAATAAGGTAAATTCGTTTTAAGCACACAAACATAGCAGTATGTGGGCTTTAGCTATTCTTAGGCCGCTCTTTTAAAATTTTTGCACAACATGTAGCGAGTTGGCTGATTGTGGATCAGACATGGCAACATACACAACCAAATTCGACCCAAAACCATAATTACTACTTTTCATTGCCTCTACTTTTCCATGTCACTGATCCACCAAACGCCTTTATATTCAATTGAATTGCACTTTACTTTTTCTTTTTCTTTTTTAAAAAAAAAAATAAAATAAAAATTGAAGCAGCCATATAAGACTGGCAATTATATGTGGTACTAATTAACAGACTGTAGTAGTCAATACTTGACTTCTAAGAGACTATTCCATGATGTTTCCTTACACCAAGGGAATACTAGTAAACATTGCACCAACTAAAGTGGACATTTATCAATGGTTTTAGCCTTGTGCTTTCAAATGCCTATAAAATGTTGGACATCTAGATAATGTTTTAGAGCTTTAATCATAGTCCTTATTAATTTTATCCAAGAAAATTAAAAAAATATGGCTTTTCCACTTGTATTTCTATTAGTCCTTTCCATCCAATATCATACACTAAAGAGTGAAATACCAGGTGCAAGGGGATTGTAAACAGAGAAGAAAGAGTAGAGAGAAGAGGGAGAGTCTGTGATAATATTCAGATAAAAAACAGATTACAATTCCTTAGAGAAAAAGTAAGAAAACTAGCTGGGAATATAAACACTACATGACAAAGTTACCTAACCAATCAACACTAATCATTGGTCACTGAATACAACGAACCTGCGAGGAAGCTACAACAGGACAGGTGGTATACCAACATTGGAGCAGCAACTGTTATAGCTGTCATACAGCCACCAATACTTAACCATGATTAGGAAGATGGTTAGAACAAAGGTTATACCCTTATTACCCCCTCTGAAGCTGAGTGGTTGTGGGAACACACCCAGCTTGAGAAGTAAAAGGTTATGCTGCTTCACTGGCAATATTTTGGTGAGAACATCAGCTAACTGCTCTGTTGAAGGAACATGCTAAGTGATTAAAGTACCATCCTTGACCATATCTCGAACATAATGATAGTCCATTTCCACATGCTTGGTTCTTTCATGAAGCACTGGGTTGGCAACAATAGCAAGGGCAACTTGATTGTCACACTTTAAAATAGTTGGAGCAAGACAATTCAAACCAAGGTCTTTGAGAAGAGATTTCAGCCAAGTAACTTCACAAGCAGTCATAGCCATGGCTCTGTATTCTGCTTCTGCTGTAGATAAAGCCACTTTAGATTGCTTTTTGGCCTTCCAGGAAACAGGAGAATCACCAAGTAGAATGCAATAAACTGTAGTGGAACGTCTGGTATTGGGGCAGCTTGCCCAATCACTGTCAGAGTAAGCAGTCAAGTGAGCAGCAGAGGAGGAAGCAAGTAAGATGCCCTGAGATTTTGTTCCTGCCAAGTACCTAAGCAATCTCTTTGCAGCTTGCATATGAGTAGAGGTAGGAGCATGCATGTATTGGCTGAGCAATTGAACTGAGAAAGCTATATCAGGTCTAGTTACAGTCAAATATATAAGCTTCCCAAGAAGCTTTTGATATATGACAGGACTGGGAAGAAGTGTCCCTTTCTCTGCTGTAAGTTTGAGATGAGTGTCCATGGGGAGTTTAAGAGGCTTCACATCAAGCATGCCCTGATCCTTTAGAAGATCAGTGCTGTATTTTCTTTGAGATACAAATATACCTCTATTTGTTTGATCAATTTCCAATCCCAGAAAATATCTAAGAGCTCCCAAATCTTTCATGTTGAAGTGAGAACACAGAAGTTCTTTGAGGTGGCTAATCTCATGCTTGTCATTTCCAGTTATCAAGAGGTCATCAACATAGACCAGGATTGCAGTAATAGATTCACCAGAATGCTTAGTTGTAGGCGTCGCTCGATGTGCGCCTACGTTAAAAGCATGTTGTGAATATGCTTGGCACTCATAGGAAGTGGGAATTGACATTACGATTAGGGACAACGATTAGGGACAAATAAAGTAGGGAGCCGCCAACAAGTTTTTAAGGAACTTGTAAACCGTTCACGGATCATAAAAAGGCAACCACGATAAGGGACAACGAAGGCAACAACGATTGACCCGTGAAGGTTACACCCCATTCATAATCCATGAGATTACTAACTCCATATGGTTCGGAACCACGAAAGGAGGATCGGGGATGATGGTACGAAGTGATTCATGGAGTCACATTCGCCCGTATTGGCCTCTACTCGATTCTTATATTGAAAAGCATTCCTGTGATCTCAAAGGCGTACAAACAATAATTCAATTCGCTCCAAATTATTATTTAACTAAATCGGTTTAATATTAATGCACACATAATTCTAAAATATTGGTGATCACTTGAATTAACAACAAGATTAAAAAGGAACCTAAACCGGTTGTCCAAATTATCTTATTAGGCGTGATTTTCAATTACATATTCCCTTTAACATGAAATATGGAAATCATAAAAATAATAGAATAAACATTAATATTAAAACCAATTTAATTAGGATTCCAACAACATAAAATTGTTAGAAAAATAATAATAGTAATAAAAGAGCATGATCCTTACTTTGAATCTGTTTGTTTGCAACTACAAAATAATAAACGAGTTAGTAACTTCAAGGAAATAATAAAACAATAACTAAATTAAATTAAATGAAATAAGGTTGATTTTGGGGCCAAACCCTCAAACGATTCTACCTTTCACGCCTTGGCTTAAGGACAGAACCTCGAGTAAAATATGGACTCCTTTGAGTGCTTGAAGAAGGAATTTTGAAGTAAAAAGGGTAGGCTAGTGTTTAGGTTAATAGCATAGAATAGAGAAAATAAGAATAACAAAATTCTGGTTGCCCCGTACATCAGAAATGAGGGGGTATTTATAGGGAAAATGTGCTGAGGGAGCACACGGAACCCTAAAATGATAAAAACCCTAAAAAAGTATCCCGTGACACGGTCAGACTGTACCGTGACACGGTCAGACTGTACCGTGACACGGTCAGACTGTACCGTCAGACGGTACACATTCCCGTTACACGGTACAGTTTTGGAGTGACGCGGGAAATTTTCAGAAAACGGAATGAAAAACGCGTTAAGGGTTTACGCGGAAAGGACACGGAACGTCCCGTGTCACGGCAGACCTCCCGTGTCACGAGAAGTCCCACCGTCAGATGGGAAGGGTTTTCCGTGACACGGTCAGACTGTACCGTGACACGGTCACTTCCCGTCCATTTTTCCGTCTAAATTCATTTTTAACCCTAATTTCTTTCGGCTTTTTAAGTGCCGATTGATAATTTCGGGCTTTTTTTCTGACTTTTATTATTCGGGCTAAAATAATAAAATAATTAAATAAAAATAAATAAAAGGTTTGGGCCAAAAATAAATAATAAAACAAAAAGGTTTGGGCTTAAAATTAATTAGTAAGTTTGGGCTGAAAGTAAAACTATGTTTTTACCAAACATCAAGACTAATCCATGGACCTTTCAAAAATATGAATTTAATAAAATATGATTTTTCAAGCACTCTCGGGATTAAATACTAAACCCGACCAATAGTGGCGGTGAAAGGTTATTTATCATCGGGTTTGGTTTTGGGGAGACATTTTTAGGTGTCTACATTAGTGAACAAACTATAGTCAGCTTTTGATTGAGTGTAACCAAAAGATAACAAGGTTGAAGACAGCTTAGAAAACCACTGTCTTGGAGCCTGTTTGAGGCCATATAGAGATTTGACCAGTTTGCATACTAGATTAGAATTTTTGAGCTGAGTAATGTCAGAATTCAGAGATATTCTGCTGCCAAAAGCTGTGTACCCTTGTGGAAGAGACATGTACACATCTTCTTCCAAGTCACCATGCAAGAATGCATTTGTTACATCCATTTGGGTGGTGATCCAACCATTCATTGAAGCAACAGCTAAGAGTGCCCTCACAGTTGCCATTTTTGCATCTGGAGCAAATGTCTCCCCATAGTCAATCCCATATTGTTGTCTGCGTCAAGGGCAACTAGTCATGCTTTGTGTCTTTCAACTTCACCATTGGATTTAAATTTTGTCTTATAAATCCATTTGCCGTCAATGAATTTTTTCCCTTGAGGAAGGTGAGTCACTATCCAGGTTCCATTCTGCTCACATTGATGCAATTCTTGATTCATTGCATCAACCCATCACTGTTATGTCACAGCTTGTTTAAAATGTACAGGATCTTGATGTTCTGCAAGAACAATCATAAAATAATGAAAGTCTTGGTTAACTGATTGATTTGCAAAATTTGCAATTTTCCTGTCAGATCTTTTCTTGGGAGCAACATAGTCTTTCCACCAGTTTGGTGGTTTGGATATTCTGGTGCTGTGTCTTGAGTTATTTTCTGTCTCAGCTGTGTGATCAATAGAATCAGTATTGGTTTGGTTAGAGCTGTCAGGGTCAGTCTGATTGTTTTGTGTAGGCTCAGGTTGATTTTGTGGAGATTCAGGTGGATCATTATTGGTGGTGTTATCAGGCTTATTTTCAGGTTCAATGTCTTCCCAATCAAGAAAAGGTGATTGCAAAGGTTTTTCAAGGTTAAGAAAATCTGGGAAAGGGTGCATATATTTATCAATTGATTGCACTTGAAAGGGAAAGATGGTTTCATGGAAGGTTACATCTCTTGAAATAAACATTCTTTTTGTTTTTATTTCAAGCAGTCTGTATCCTTTTTGAGTTGAAGGATATCCAAGAAAGACACAGGGCACACCCCTAGGCTGAAATTTGTCCTTAGACAGAGTGGGATTTGAGGCAAAAGCCAAACAGCCAAAAACTCTCATATGTTCAAAGCTTGGAGCAGATTTATGTAGGACCTCATATGGAGTTTTATTGTTCAACACAGTTGTAGGAAATCTATTGATTATATGGACTGCTGTCATGACACATTCACCCCAATATGACAAATTCAAGCCTGCCTGAAATCTAAGAGCTCGAGCCATTTCAAGAATATGCCTGTGTTTTCTTTCTGCTCTAGCATTTTGCTGGGGTCTGTCTACACAGGATGTTTGATGCACTATCCCCATTTCACCAAAGAACTGCTGACAAGGTCCATCATCAAATTCCAAGGCATTGTCTGACCTTAGAATTTTGATTTTAGAGTTGAAATGTGTCAAGGCATAGTTGTAAAAGGCTTTAAAATGAGACAGAGCATCAGATTTGTGAATCAGCAGATATACCCATGTGTTTCTTGAGCAATCATCTACTATTGTGAGAAAATATCTGTATTTCCTTCTTGTGCACACTTTATATGGACCCGAGATGTCCATATGAATCAATTCAAAGGGTGAGATGGCATGAGATTCACTGAGAAAATAGGGCACTTTAGTGAACTTTGCCATGGGACAAGTGATACAGACTTGGGTTTTTTCATGAATGGTTTTCTTTACACAAGGAATGTGTTGCAATTTTCCAACAGATGCATGTCCCAGCCTGTGATGCCACACTGCAAAAGGAATTTTCTTCTCTGTATTTGCATCCAGACAAGTATGAGAATCCCACTTCTGACTGGATTCATCCAGATTCAGAGGTTTATTAATCAAGTAGTATAAGCCATTTTTTGCCTTACCTATACCCATGATCTTTTTTGTGGCAGTGTCCTTGATAACACAGTGAGATCCATAGAAATTGACTTCACATTGGGAATCCTTGGTCAATTTTGGCACAGAGAGAAGATTGTACTTGAAGTTAGGCACAACAAGCACATTTTTCAAAACAATAGAGTTTTTCAACTCAGCATTTCCAGTATGAGATACCACAGATGATGTTCCTGTAGGCAAAACAATTCTAGAAAGATTCTTAGCAGCAGTCAGATTGGAGAGAGAGCTCAGATCTGAAGTCATATGATCTGTTGCTCCAGAATCAAGAATCCACCCTTTAGTCAATTTTTCACTGTCACAGGACAACACCATGCCTGAGAAATTATTGTCAAGTTCATCATCAGTCTCACATCCTTTTGCAGCACTTGAAGAAGGCATGAGTTTGAGTATTTGCTCAAATTGTTGTTGAGTCAAAGTTATGTTTCCACCACCTTGAAATCCACTCTGAGCTACTGCAGCTAGCTTAGGTGGTGGTCTGTTATTGCTCCACTTTTGTTCTGAGTTTCTAGGTTGTCCTTTCACAGAATTTCCAGGCCTATATTTAGAGTGCCATGTTGGATATCCAACTACAGTCCAACATCTGTTTTGACTTTGCCCTTTACCACTACAAGCTGAACATTTTTCAGAGAAATTTGTTCTGCTACCCTACTTACTATACATAGCATAGGCATCATTGTCAGATACAGGAAGCTGAAGAACTTCCCTTTGGCTTTCTTCTTGTTGCAATATGGAGCAAGCAGTGTCAACAGTAGGCAAAGGTGTCATCATGAGAAGCTGTGTTCTCATGGCACTATACTGGTCACTAAGACCATTAAGAAACTGGAAGAGTCTACTCTCTTCTTGATATTTAGCTATTGCATTCAAAAGGTTTCTCATTTCAGCTGTTGTTTCAGTGACCACTGGCATAGCATTCATAGAGTCAAGCTCTTCCCACAGACTAGACATAACAGTATAATAAACATTCACGGTGTTACTGTTTTGCTTAAGACTATACAAATCTTTGTTTAGTTTGTATTTCCTAGATCCATTTGCCATGGAAAATCGTTTTTCAAGCTGTACCCATGTCTCTCTAGCAGTATTAACATAAAGCACATACTTCTTGATAGTATCTGATAAGCAAGAATGGATCCAGGAAATTACCATAGA